ACCCATGGTGGACAGTGTTGGCTGGAGCTTCCCGACTAAATCAAGCCTGGAAGCAGGAGCGGCATCCACTTCCAAAATGGCTTGCCTCTGGAAACTCTATGTACGAACAGTGCTCAGGCCTAGGACTCGACGGCATTAAACAACAACAACAACATTCATTGACAGTAGATTTTCTCATTTAAATACATTTTTTATTTATTGAATTTTATACTAGAGATATTGATTACAGATCTAAAAAAATGAAAATTAAAATATTGACAACTTAAAAAAAAAACACCAAAAAACTCACCATCCTGGCTGCACTTCTTCCAAGATAAATGTGTTTGTTCTTTTTTTTTTTTTAATAATGTTAATGAAATGTGTTTGTTCTTTTAGCAGTTCTTGGTACATTACATATCCATCTTACCAACATTTCAGTTCATCTTCTTCAGTCTTCCTTATTCATTGTCCAGCTTTCACATGCATATATAGCAATTAAAAATACTATGACTTAGGGAGCTCTGTTGGCCTAGTGGCAAGGAGCTGTACATAAATCCTGAAAGCAGTCGGTTTGAATCCACCAGATGCTCCACTGGAGAAGGAGGGGCAATCTCCTCCTGTGCCAGTCGGTTCCAGTTCAGCGGTGCACAACAAGGGCAGGGGAAGAAAATACCATGACTTAGATCAAGCCAACTTTAAAGTTACAGCCTTGTTAGCACTTTAAGAGGTTTGGCCATTGCAATAAATCTTTTGGTTTTATAACCGCTGCTTCCATAGGTGTTGATTGTTTATGTATCCAAGTAAAATTAAATTCTTGACAACTTCTATCTTTTCTGAATGTATTATGTTACTACTTTTGATCCAGTTGTGAGGATTTTTATTTTCTGGATGTTGAAGTGTAATCCATACTGAAGGCTACAGTGTTTGATCTTCAATAAGTACTTCAGTAAGCAAAGTTATGTCATCTGCATATCACAGATTGGTGATTCTTCCTCCAATCCTAATGCCACATTCTTCTTCATATACTCTAGCTCCTTAGATTCTTTGCTCAACATATACACTGATTCAGTGTGATGAAATGATAACCCTGATGCACATCCATCTTGAGTTTAAACCATACAGTATCTTCTTGTTCTGTTCAAACCATGTACAGGTTCTCCATAAGTATGATTAAATATTCTGGAATTCCGATTATGCTCAATGTTAGCCATAATTTATTATGATCCACAAAATCAAAAGTCTTTGCATAGTCTTCAAAACACAAGTAAAGATTTTTCTGGTATTTTCTGCTTTTAGCCAAGATTCACCTGGAATTGATGATATCATCCCTCGTTCCACGACCTCTTCAGAATTTTTTTTTTTTATTTTGTGTGCGTGTACCATCAAATCAGATCTGACTGGTACAGGAGGATATTGCGCCTCCTTCTCCGGCAGAGCGTCTGGTGGATTCGAACCGTGTTCCTCTGGGATTGCAGTGCAACTTCTTGCCACTAGGCCACCAGAGCTCCCCCTGACCTCTTCAGAATTGACAGTTCATTATTGATGTACTTCTCCAGCATTTTAAAATAATCTTAGCAAGACTTTACTTGCCTGTTGTTGTTGTTGCCATATGCCGTTGAGTGGCCTAAGACTCATAGCAAACCTATGTACAACAGCCCTAAACCCTGCTCTATCATGTGCTAATCTCAATGTCTCTGACACATCCACCCCTTTACCCCAGTCACTGAATCAATCTATCTCATCAAGGGTCTTCCTCTCCTGTGCTGTCCCTCCACCCTCCCAAACATGATATCCCTCTCCAAGGATTGGTTCTTCCTTACAATATGTCCAAAGTATGTCAGACAAAGCTTCAGAATCCTTGCCTCCAAGGAGCAGCCTGGTTTAACCCTCTCGCAGATGAACCTATTTGTTCTTTTAGCAGTCCATGGCATGTATATTCAATACTCTTCTCCAACACCACAACTCAAAGGCATCAATTTTCCTTCTATCATTTGTAGTCATTGTCCAGCTCTCTGATGCATAGCAAGTGATTGCAAAGACCATGGCCTGTATCAGGTGAACCTTAGTCTCTAGACTTTGGGCAGAATATTAAATAATTCAGGAAGTATTAAAAGAGGGTAGAAAGAGTATACAGTGTCATTATACCAAAAGGAATTGGAGGACACAGAAGAATTTCATGAAACAACGTATGAGCAAGAGGTGTGATGATGAAGGAGGAAGTTCAAGCTGCTCTGAAAGAATTGGCAAAGAACAAGACCCAAGGAATTGACGGTATAGCAATTGATATATTTCAGCAAAGAGATGTTGCCTGGATGTGCTCACCAAGTTGTGCAAAGAAATCTGGAGGACAACCACCTGGCCAACTTACTGGAAGAGATCTATCTTTATTTGTTCCCATTCCAAAGAAAGGTGGCCTGACAGAGTGTGGAAATTATCGAACAGTATCATTAATATCACATGCAAGCAACATTCTGCAGAAAAACGACTGGAACAGCACATCAACAGAGAACTGCCAAAAGTGTAGGCTAGGTTTAGAAGGGGTAGCTAATGTCAGATGGATCATGGTTGAAAGCAGGGAGTACCAGAGGAATGTCTATCTATGTTTCATTGGTTATGCAAAGGCATTTGACTGGACCACAAGAAACTAGTAACTGTGAGAAGGATGGGAATCCCAGAACACTTGATAGTGCTTATGTGAAACCAATACTTGGACCAGGAGGCAGTTGTCAGAACAGAGCAAGGGAACACTGCATGGTTCAAAATCAGGAAGAGTGTACTCCAGGGATGTGTCGTATCTCCATACCTGTCCAATTGGTATGCAGAACAGATTATCCAGGAGGCTGGAGGAGAAATGTAGCATCAGGATTGGAGGAAGACTCAATCTGCATTATGGAGATGACACAATCTTGCTTGCTGAAATTGAGGAGGACATGAAGTGCTTGCTGCAGAAGGTCAAGGACTACAGCCTTCAGTATGGATTGAGGATCAATACCAAGAAAACAAAGAGTCTCACCACTGGGCCTATTGGCAGCATCGTGATGGATGGTAAAGAGATTGAGATTGTAAACAGCTTTAGTTTGCTTGGCTCCACAGTCAACACTCTTGTCACTAACAGCCAGGAAATTAAAAAATGTATTGCATTGGGAGTTTGCTGTCGGAGACCCCTCCAAAGTACTGAAGAGCAATGATGTCAGTCTGCAGACTAAGGTGCCTATTATATTAATTATTATTCTATAAATTCTCCATTCTGTTAGATCATCATTCTTTGCAGAGAACGAATAAGAATCTGTCCAGTTGGTTAGCCAGGTAATTGTCTTCCAAATTTCTTGGCATAAATGAATGAGCATGTCCAGGGCTGTATCTTTTTGCTGAAAGATATGACCTGGTGATTTGTCAATTTCTAAAACCTTACATATAGCCAATGTCTTTAATGCAAGTTGGAATTCTTCCTTTAATCGTTCTTGGCCATATGCTACTTCCTCTGAGATTTTTTTTAAATTTTATTATTTTTTGTGTGTGTACCGTCAAATTGGATCTGACTGGTACAGGAGGAGATTGCCCCTCCTTCTCCAGCAGAGCATCTGGTGGATTTGAACCGTGTACCTCTGAGATTGCAGTGCAGCTTCTTGCCACTAGGCCACCAGAGCTCTCTCAAATGCTACTTCCTGAAGTGGTTGCAAACCAGTTCTTGTACAATGACTCTTTCCATTTCTTTTGATGCTTCCTGTGTCATTCAATATTTTGCCTATGAAATCCTTAAGTATTGCAACTTGAGACTCTTTTTTTCCTCTTGAGTTCTTTCAGCTTGAGAAATGCCAAGTGTATTTTGCTCTTTTAGTTTTCTAACTCCAGGTCTTCGCCCATTATGTAATGGTACTTTATCTTCTCATCTGCCTTTTGAAATCTCTGTTCAGATCTCTCATTTCCTCTTTCATTTTCACTTCTATATGTTTGAGAGCAAGTTTCAGAGTCTCATTTGACATCCATTTTGGTATTGAAATGGGAGTGGCATTCGCACAGCATCCAGCATCCCAGCAACACATAAGCCACCAGAGTACAATAACTGACAGACAGGTGGTGCCTCCGGCAACCGGTGGGCTCAATTTACTGACCTTTAGGTTCGCAGCCAAGTGCTTATCATTGTGCCATCCATAAGGGCTCCTAGAAGTGCTGCCCAATCCTGTGGGCCAGAGCTTCCTAACCTCAGTCTGTCAGCTCCTTCCCCAATGACTCCAGCAGCTTTTCCTCTCAGTGAACCTTGCTCCCCTCCTCCTCAAGTGGAACTGCCTTTTGTTTCTGAGAGCCAAGCTCCTCCTCTCTGTAGTTTAGCAGGAAAACCAAAACAAGGGAAAAGTAGGGGCCATTTAAGACAGGCTGGTAGCTCAGCTAAGGAGTCCATTGCCCAGATGCCTCATTTTGGAAGAAGTCTCAGAGACCATCCAAGCCACCCTCTGGATTTATAGATTGGAGGACAAGGACCAAATAGAGAAGTGATTCAACCAAGTTTCATATTAGCCGTTCTCTTACTCTATCCCTTATGTCACCAGAAGGACCCTGGGACTGGACCCTAATTGGGCTCTCTTTCCATGTTCTGCTCCCCTCATCCCTTTCCTCATTCCTTAGTCACTCTCCCAGAGGAGAAGTCCCTTCTCATTCTCCCAGGATACTTTTTCGCAGAAACTTTAACTATGTCTGAGGGTGGGAAAGAAAAGGGAGGAAGCATGTGGATGGGGAACCACAGTTCTCAAAGACACCACCTTTACTCTTCAGTCTGCCATTGTGGGTATTCTCTGAAGGGCTGTGTCTTCCCAGAGCTTCTGACACCTCCCCATCTCTTGCTCCTACCTTAGATTTGTGACACAAACTTTGTGCAGTACCCAAACTATTGTGCTTTCAAAAGCCAGCAGTGCTCGCTGAGAAACCAAGACCAGAAGGTGAGCCCCTTCTACCCCCTTTTTCTCCCACCCCATTCTCAGTCCATCACCAAGGGGGGGTCTACTCTGAGCACTTTAAAGCAGCCAGGATTAAGAACAGTTCTCTACCTCCATCTACTGGGGCAGAGGCTTCAATCAAGGCTCGCCCTTCCCATCCAGTCTTGGAGTAATCAAGAATTTTCCAAGTCTGGAGTTTAACTGGGAGGGATGCTACTGTAAGTGGTGAGGCCCTGAGGGCACAGCTAGAAAGAACCCTTAGCTGGGTTGGGAACTGGAAGCTGTTTCCGTCCTGCCCCCTGTTCTTACTCATCAGGTAGTCTGGAATAAGTCACTTCCCACTCTGAGCCTCTCACCCTCATCATTTATTTCCGAAAGGAGGGAGTTAGGCTATTTGGTTTCTCTTGCAGCCAGTTTTGTAAAAACCCACATCCAAATTCTCTTTTCTCTGTTACCCTGTGCTCACGTCCACATCCCCTGGTTCTTGCTGGCGTTCTGACACCACCTCCCCCATGTCCACACCCCTGCAGGTGTTCCGTATGAGATGTCTGCGCAATGAGACTTACAGTGTGATTACCCAGGCCAAAAGCGAGGATCTTGTGCTTCACTGGAGCCAGGAGTTTAGCACCTTGACCCTAGGCCAATCTGGATGAGCTGGAACCTATCCTGCCCCCAACCCTTTCCAGATTCTCCATCACTCCTAAATGCCCCATCTTTCAGTCTGTTTCCAGGCTAACATGTAAGGTCTCTTGTCTGGCCCCTCAAGGTTTTTTTAGTTGGAGCCACAGTCCTGCAGAGACCTGTCATAAGAGCACCATCTACCCTCAAGGATATCTTTACATAAAGTACTTATTTTTCAGCCTGTGTAGCTTCTGTTTGTTACAATACTTATCTATAGCATAGCTTCCCTGCCTGTGTAAACCAGTCCCTCCAGCCCCCAAGTTTATGGCTTCAGCTGTAAAAAAGATTCTCTTCTCATGGAAATGGTATGTATGGAAGCAGCCATCTCCCACAAGGAGCAAAAGACCAAAGACATCAAGACTTGTAATTGAAGAAAACCATGGCTGGCGTCTTGGGGATCACAATAGGCCATGAAGGGTATGTGTGCCTGCATTGCTGAAGCCTTAGGATTGAGTATATGGTTGTTTCTCTGAGAAATAAAGTCCAGAGACTGAGATTGGATTCAGGAGATTCAATATGAGGGAAGCGTGGAAATCTTGTGCTTTCTCAGGAAGGAGGAAACTACTGTTATGTAGGTAGCGCCTAAGAAACCCTTGATTTGGATGTCTAGGAATTTGCCACATCATCTGAATCTGGTTATTTTGCCTTGACAATATTCATTGCAGTGTGACTCTAGCATTGGCCTTTAATCACTCTCCCTTCTAGAGATTCACAATTTTAAATTTTTTTTTCTAATTATATGAAAACATACATAATTGGGCTCTAGTGGCCTAGGGGCAAGAAGCTGGTTCGAGGCCACCAGCTGCTCCATGGGAGAAGGATGGGCAGTGACGTCCCGTGCAATTTACTCATAGGCACGCAGTTCGAGTCCACCAGATGCTCCACTGGAGAAGGGGGAGCATCTCCTCCTGTAACAGCTGGATCTGACTTGGTACACAACAAGGAAAAGAGTATTAAAAAAAAATTCCTCTGAAAACCCGCTGGAGGTTCAGCTAAGAGATCACAACTTTAAATGTTTTTTAGTTATGTTAAAACATAATTGTGTTCAAACAAGCACAAAACTAGTACAGTCTTGTGCACCTCTTGTGTACCCTTCAGTCAGGTTTAATTATCAACATATAGTCAACTGTCACCAGAAGGACCCTAATACTAGACCACTAATTGGACATCCTTTCCCATGTTCTGTTTCTCTTAAATTGTGAATTGAGTGAAGTACAGAGTAAATGAGTTTCCCATTCAGTGATCCATCACATTTTGGTTAAACGTTTATTGAGCACATTGGTTTGCCGTTCAACAATCCGTGTGTGTTTTGTTTGATGACCTGTGTGTTGCATTTCTCACAGTGTAACAGCACACATCCTCCAGGTATTTCTTTTTCCTTTCCTCTTCTTTCCTAACCTTTTCTTCCATCTGAATTTTGTCCTTGGACATGTGGTCAGTCTTAAAGGATATTAAAAGCGCTGAGAATCTTGTAATAAAGAAACTAGTGTGTCCCAAACTCATTTGGCTACAATATACCATTTTACCTAACACCCAATACTTGAACTTATTTTTTATTTATTGAGTATTGACATGGCTGGCCCTGTGCTTAGCTGTAGGATATAGGGACAAGGAGCTATCACTGGAGCTACCTGCCCTTCCAGAACTCACATGTGAGGTGGGCAGTGTCTGTAGAATAGACATAAAACAAAAAACAACAATATAGTCCAGCCTGGTAAGTGGCATCTTTGGGGAGGTCTGTGTGCTCCACAGTGAGGAAGGGCTCAAAAGAAACTGGAAGGTATAGGAATGCTGGGCAACAGAGGGTACAAGCCACAAGCAGCATAGGTTCAGCCTCCTGACAGATGTCGGAGAGGAAGAGAGACACCCAGAGGGAACCTGGCGAGACCAGCAAGAGGCTAGTTGATTAGTCATCTGGCATCTGTGGGGTGGGTGTGTCAGAAAGGCTTAGCGGAAACTGGTGAGTGATTGTGTGAGTAATGGGTGGGGAGAGTTGTTAGTTGACAAGAGTTGGAAGCTGGGTTAAGTGCCATTACCTGCTGGGTTTTATACGTGACCAGTCCTGACTGTCTGAGGGCCATTGCCTCCTCCTGGATCTCCCTGCCCAGTGTGGGGCTCAGTGAGCTGGAGGAGCTGCCCAGGTATATGCTGTGATCTGCCGAGGTGGGCGTGTTCCTTACCTGTCCCAGGAGCAGGTCCTACCAGCCAAGCCCAGGTCAGAGCCAGGTGGCAGTGGAAGCCAACTTGGGATCCCAGCAGAGCAACAAGGAACACAGGTATGTGGGCGCTGAACCTCACGGGGGCAAACAAGGGCAGCACCCCTTTCCTTACACATGGGACAGAGGTGTGGATGGAGATGAGGTTGGCTTATAAGCCCTGGAAAACCTCTTAAAGTAGAGAAGAGAGCTAACAAGGGGTTGCCTTGAACAGACAGACTTTCTAAGGACATGCTACCAGGTAGACAGCCAGCATCTTTGACCCACCCCTGGGCACCCTCTGAAGGCTGGAAGCCCCATTCTGGGGGGGTCTTAGGAAGGCTGTGCTTTTTCATCACCCTTTAGCTGCCCCCTTGCCGTGTTGAACCCTAGTCTGTCCCAGGCTACTTAGGAGACCTCTTTGGGGACTATTTTACCTTTCACCTCAACTCAATTAGACTTAACACCACCTCTACATTCACTGGACCCTTAGGGAGAGCCCCTTTGCTAAACAACAATTAGCTACCTGGTTAAACTCTGCTAATAAGTTCAAGGGCTCAGATGTATTCATACTGTTATCCTTCCCAGCTAGCAAAGGTATATTTTTTTTTCATTAAAAAGATTTTTTTTTAATTTAGGTTGTTTATTTTTCATTTCAATGAACATCTACAGAGATTTTGGGATTCCATTCATTCATTGTTGCACCCTTCTCCCCGCACAAACCCCTCCCCCCCCCATTTGCTCCTCTCCTTGAAAAGCCAAGGTATATTTTAATGAAGTCTTCTGGAAACACTACCTTAACCCAAAGGGTTTAGCTGTCTATAAAAGAGGATTTGACCAGATGGTCCCTGATGTCCCAGTAGCTTTGGAAATCTGTGGTTCATCAAGGGGATGGGATTGTGTGTACAGGTGGGGAAATATTCAAGGGTCATTAGATCATATGATACCTTTGTCTTATACCAGTAATGACAGCTGCCCACCTGTTATTACCCATGTTTATGGGTATGTTTATGGTTATGTTTATGTCTCCTTTACAAGTGAGGGACTACAAAGGAGGAACTCCCCACAAGATTGTACCTTAAGAATTCCTAGTGAGCTTAAGTTGTAGCCCTGAAGGAAGAAAAAGGCAAGGTTCAAAGGGGAGATAGAAACTCATACCTCTCAGTCTCACATTCTGCCGCCTCAAACAGTAGAACCCAGTTCTTCTCTATGTCTGATGCCTCCAGTTCTCCTCATCGTAAACTCAACCACTCAGCATTGATCCCATCTCCTCAGAAATTTTTTATGCCCCAACCCAAGGGGAAGGATATGGCAAGTATAAAGGCTACTGTCTGAGTTCTGGCTGGGTTCTGTAGTGGTTGAAGACCCAGAGATATTTTGGTAAGGAGGCAGGCTTTTAGTCAGGACACTAGAGTTGATTCCAAATGCATGCAAAAGCACAGATCAGTAGAGAGTTGATCCTGTCTGAATTCCTTCCCTTAGTTGGGACTTTTATTTCCTGTTTTACTAACCTCTTGAAATCAGGGTGTCAGGAGATGTGCAGGTGGTGAGGCAACATCCAGCCATGGAGAAGAGGGAACAGGAACTGATTCTTGAGCTGAACATTTGCCTTTCTGCCTTTTTTCCAGAAACATGTTGGGATGGATGAGGTCAAAGTACTCAGGGAGGGATGCTGTTAGAAATTCAGGAAGAGAGAGGCTCGGGTCGGGAAGGGTAGGAAGAGGCAGGCTGGAGCAGGAATTTTGGCTAGAGGGAGTGAACCAGAGAGGAGAGAGGACTGTGTTAATCCAAGACACCTTGGGGCGAAGATGCAGGTGTGGCACACGCCCCAGCGGCCACTGAGCAGCTGCTGTTCATCATGGCCCTTTCCACTGCCAGCTGAGAGACCAGCAATTGAAAACTCTAGACACTATTTTATGTTGCTGCCCCTTGGCCTACGGAGGCACCCTTCTACTCTGCGCACGTGGGGCTGCCCGCAAGTCACAGTTAACTTGAAGACAACTACCAGCAACAGAGCGCAAAGGGGGTATTTCCTGTGGGGAAGGTGGTGAGATGCTGGTTGGTCACATGGCTTCTGGCATCTACAATGTGGATGGGTGGAGCAGAGAGAATGGAGAGATCTGAGAATCCTTCTTTTCAAACTTCTGACCCCCAGGAATTCAGGTCAGAACAGAAAAAGAGGCTATGACTTAGGAAGAAAGAAAAAAAAAGAGGAGGCAAGTAATTTGGTGGGTGTGGGGGGAGGGGAGGAACAGGGAGGATAGCACACAGAAGCTGGATTAGAGGAAGTTTTTTGGTCTACCCCCAGCCCTGCCCCAGCTCCACACCCTTCAGCAACACAGGTGGTGCAGTGGTTAAAAAGTGAGCTATTATCCAAAAGGTCAGCTGTTTAAACCCACCAACCACTGTTCTGTAAAGATTCCCAGTCGAGGAAACCCAATGGGGCAGTTTCTCTTCTATTCATAGAGTCGCTGTGAGTCAGAAATGAAGTTGGCAGCAGTGGGAATTTGAGGGGTTTGACCCTACCCTTCCCCTTCCCACCTCCATTACTGTCCCAAATCACTATCCTTCTCCTCTTCAATCTCCCTCAGCATCGCTGGTCAGTCACCTGAGAGGTGGACACTAAGGACAGGTTCTGTGCAAGAGAGTGAGAGAATGGTCATGCTATAACCTCCTGCCCACATTTCTTTTCACTTCCTGCTGGGGCAAAAAATAACCCTGCTTCTCTGGCTTGTTTCAGCAAAGTCCCCAGCCCAGCGCAGAGGGCAGTAAGGAGC